ATGTGGCCCTACATTCCTGTAAAATGCCAAAGGGATAGCAATTTCCCTTCGAGTGATCTATTGATTGTCCTTAATCAGTTCATCAGTTTTCCTATACAAAAACATTTGCTATCACAGGTTATCCACTTCATTCTTAATAACACAAATCATCTCTTCCCAGTTCACCATCTTTACATGCTTTTTGACCCAGCTTAACACAGTACTCAAGTTAATATAATCCCTATACATTACTAGAATTTGATAGTGAATGTCAATTGGAGGAACATCTTCACCAGTCAAAAATTCATTTGTGGCACATTGCTTAAAGTTCACTGATGAGTATTCACAGCAGGTTTCCATTTCACAAAGAAGAGCAACACAACCTTTTCTCACATCAACTTTCTGTCCACTGAAGTGAAAGAAAGGTACACATCGGAGAAAGAAACGAACACTTCAGAGCTTCTAGTGTGTTAGTACTGTCATCTGCTCATGATTTAGCACATAGGAGGGCATAACTTTCATTTTAATCCTTGTACATTAGTCAATGCAACAAACACACACAATCTATCCAAAGACCTCAGTTGTGTACTGCAATTATTAGGACAATCAGAATTCTTTAGCGACAACATATTACTATAATGGGAATTAAAACAAAATTTAGCTTCTTTTCCCACTGTAATTCCAACTTCTATAAATCTAGCTGCTATTAGGATAACAATAACAAAGTTTTTGCTTGATCTCAATAAGGTATAATGGAATGTTTCAAAAATATGTGGTTGTGGGGTTTTTTTAAGTAGAAAGATGGGTTAGTCATATAAAGGAATTTATCATAATATCTCACTGATTTTGTTTTAACCAAGTTTGGTTGCAGAAGCCATAGCGGCCAGCTTCTATATAATACTAAATCATAAAATTCATTTTACAAGTCAAAGCAGCTAGATTGGAGGTGTCAAACTGGCAGCCTGTGGACTGGATGCGTCATGAGCAGGCCACGCCCACCCCAGCTCCACAAAGGAAAAAAACACTGTGAAACGTCACATGATGGCAACGTGACGCCATGAGTTTGACACCCACAAGCTAGATTCACAAATCACACAGAGCCAGAATAAATCACATTAAGATTTGGTATAATATGTAAACTCAGCCACTGCAAAGCTAGCCTTCAATTCCTGCCTTAAGTTTTATTTTTACAGATTACTATGAAATAAATGTTTCTTAGAACTCGTAGAACCAATCAGTTGCATATTTTATTCCCCTCCTTAAGAACTAGTTTTCTAATATTTACACATCCAAATATGAACAAGCCCTACCTAAGATTTAATTTCTTCATAGTCAGCTCTTTGGATTTCCTTCCTCACTCTTGTTAAAGATAGTGGGAAGAATATCTAATTAAAACCTAAAAGATGCCTCCTGCTCTTGCTAGTAACTGTGTTACATCAATTAAATGGGTAAGTAGAAGCTGTCCCCAGAAGGAGTATCATGTGATCCAGTATTGATTAAGACTGCAGTGGAATGTTATTTGCAATTGCATTGCACAATGGCAATCAGGAAGTAGCTGTCATGCTTTCAAAAGACAAATTGCTGGCATCTGAGACAATTCATAGGCTCCCTTTCTTTTTGCTGTTCTCAAGTCACAGTTAATGCATGTTCTACAGGGATTAGTTTCTTAAATCTGTCTCCTTCACTGTCTTCGGCAGTTAAGAGAGAGAGAAAGAGACAGCTATAATTTAGAGGACCCTGTATTAGAGATGATGTTAACTAACCGCAATGTCTATCAGAATTTCTCAATTTCATATTATTTAATAGGATGAAATTTTAATAATCAAAAAATTTAAACAAATAAATATGCAGCAGCCAATCTCACTAAAGACAGCGTTGTAGTCAAGGAGGATTCAGAATTCTGTATTATTCCCTCAAATCTTCATTTCAGTGGCATAACTTTATGAAGGATTGGTTTCATGCAACACTGTGGACCTATAATTTAAAGAGATGAATAATCAGAATAATAAGTGTTTTTCCTGAGAAATTTCAGGAATAAGAAGCAGCTAACAAATAACTAACTATACATGTGTTTATAGTGGGGCTAAAGTCTGCCCAAATATGAGAAGCAAAGGAACATGTTGAAATTAACATTAATTTGTTTTAAAGTTGCTGAGCACTTGGTATCTCTGTGTATTAGCAAAGGAAGATTGAGCTTCATCTATACCTTATGTTTTTATAAAACAGGTTGTATAAAATCCTATAGCTATCCATCTTTCAATTGCATCTTAATAAGAGCGTTTTGGAGCTAGGTGGTGACGTCCTCCTTTTCTTTTCATCTCTAACAAGTCAACCTGATCAGGCTTCTTTTTCTGGCTATTATTCACAGGCTCTTAAGAATGAAACAGTATTTTAATGTTCTCAAGACTGAAACACAGAACCCCTTTTTTAGTGCAGACAATTAACCCATGCAGCTGAGTGCCCTGATTATAACCAAGACAAAATGAGAAAAGTTTGATTTGCTTCATTCCTAGTCAACAAGGAGCAGGATTATAAATCTTAATAAGAGGTTATCAGATCTACACTGCAAAAATTGGACACCTATTATACGGTAGCAAATATAAACAAAAAATTCCTCTTTACTTTTTTATTATCTAATATTATCCCAATTTTTTCTCTCCAAATCTGACAGCTCTATAAAAGATACTGTTTTTAGCATATATTGAACATATCCCAAATTCAGGGTGCCATCATCAATTGGTTATCCACTAAATCTTCTTTTTTTAAAGTGTTGCTCCCTAATGAATTCCAGTTGAATTCATCTATCAATTACATTTGACAAGTTAAGATGTGACAGGTTTACCTTTCCAATGCTTATGCTTTATGAATTAAACAAATATATTATGAAGTCCAGGAATAACATGTCAGTGTGATTATTATTCTGAAGTGAACTGCTAAAATTCATCCAGGAAAAATTATAACCTTGTAAAACTTGAGAAGTTACCTTTTTTATAGGCACATGTTTATATATACTTTTACACAGACCACAATTTCTGGAATTTCAAACATACTTCAATGTTTACCTCCTCAGCATTCTTATAAACCAATATAAATGTAAAACTGACAGCTGATCATCCATGATTCGATAATCAAATAAAACCAGCCTAGAACAATATATAATTAATCAGAAGTTGTCTGTGCCATAAGAGGTAATTCACCTGGTAGCTATATTGATTTCAGTTCAATCATTCATTACAGTGACAGGTTCCTGAACAAAGTTCTCCAGCAAAACTCCGTATCAAAAATTCCAGAATTCAGAAGAGTCATTTAGAAAAGCCATTTCTTTTTCTTTTCCAAATTCTCATACAGGATAATACAGAAAGCACAAATACACAAATCTAAATATTATCAAAAGACCTACCTGTAATTTTAACCTCTCTACATTGCATGACTTAGGGTTTAAGTACCTAATGATTTACCTCCTAGATAAGTAAGAAGGGTGGTGACTAGGCAGGGACTTTTTTTGTAGTGAGTCTCTTATTTGATTTTAAATTGCTTTTCTTAAGAACTTAAGGCCTTAGTAGTTAGAACTGTGCCATTTCTTCTGAATCAAAATTTAACAGCTTGATTTTGGTATATCTTTACAAATATTCTGTGTTGTTCCAAATACTCCTTCATTGAACAGAAGCAATTAAAGTTAGTAAATGATAAATATAGTTTTACACATAAATCTAAACCTGCATATGTGATTTATTAGATGTCAACCCTTAAAGGAGTAATTACTGGTGAACATGATTTAGGGAATATCGTTGCAATTAGATTCTGCTTGTAATTTTCTAGGAACAACTGATAGAATTCTGGACTGGATAAGTTTTTAGTATGATCTATAGCTTTTGTCATGAGCATTCACAACTGGTTTTAATTGTATTTTAATCTCTCTCTCTCTCTCTTTTTTTTTTTTTTTTTTGCTATTTTTGCTTCTCCCATTACTGTTTTTCCATTCTCTTCCAGCTTAGATTATCACTGTCACAGTAAGAAACTCCCTGTCCCATAGGGTACTATGGTTATTTTTTTATAAAGTTTTATTAATTTTCTATTATTTACATTTTGTTAGTGCTTAATAAACATCATGTTGTCTGGGTTATTTTATTTGATTAGCAGCAATCTAAAGAAAATGGAGGATTTGGACTACCAGATTGACTTTTATATTACCAAGCATGTGTTATAACATGGCTAAAAGAATGAAAAACTGTCAGACACACGAGACTGTTATATTTAGAAAGACATGATTTACAACTTGAATTGCATGGCTTCTTATGGTATAAGAAGAATATTATTCACAGATGTCAAAATCAGTATATAAGAAACCATTATCTGTATGGGGGGGGGAAATAAAAACTAAGATCTATTTGAGAATCCCAGAATGTCTCTCAATGATGGAAGCATTTACATATCCAAATCTGGTGAAGTTTGGAAAAATTGTGACATATAAAGACATTTTGGACTCTGAATGTACTATGTTTTGTTTTTCTTTCTGCTAGAACCTTCTTGATGTTTAAGAAAATTTAAAATATGAAGTACTTTCAGTTAAGTATGAAAGTTTAGAATATACTTATATTGAAGTATTATTCATAACATTAAACAATATTTTACTTTATAAAATATCAATAATGATCAATTCCAGTACCATCCTTACTCAAACACTAGCATGATCATATTTGAAGCAAAATACTTTTGACAGATGTTAATATAGTCTACAGGGAGCACAACTATTGTATAACTTGACTGAAGATTGGTACACTTCTATCTGGGATGTCATCTTGTTCCACTATGCAGCTTTGGGATGGATGCACATGGAGCACTGAGTAAGGAAGGAGACACACACCTAGCCAGCTAGATCAGCCTGGTGATCCATGGAGTGACAGATGTTGCAGCCAGATCACCCTCACATTCTGTGTTGATAGATTCCTTGCTATGATATCATGCAATGAGTGGTAATACTTGCCTCTGTTTCTAAAAATAGAAAATGAGGATCCACTTACCTTAAAAAGTCTTAAAATGTTAGCCACCATGATGGACACTGAACTCGCTGCTGCACCTATTACCCCGGTTATCTTGTCTGGCTTGGTAAAAATAGGAGGATCTCCATTAGCACATTTTACATCAGACCCATCTTTTTCTATCAAAGCTTGAACAAAAGTTAAAGACTGCTCCAGAGCATAAGTGTCTCTGGAACATGTGTCCAGAATCCGAACACCCAACGTGACATTGGCAAGAAGATCAGGGTCCTTATTGATCTGATCAATTGCATATAGCATTGCCTCAAGCCGATGGATTCCCTTTTCTTTCTTGAGTTCACCACAAGGTACTCCTCTTTCTCCCTTGGCATGGACAGGAAACAGTCCTCCCAAGATTACATCTCCATCGAGTCGAATGGAATGGGCATATTCCTGGCCATAAGTTCCTCGTATCATAGGAATTACCCAACAGAATCTGGCTGCAAGCAGGAAAAAATGATGGCAAGATGTTAGAAGCTTGTCCTTGTATACCATTTTTTCTGAAGATGGTGTTGCAATCCAAGATCCAGATTTTCTCCTTGCTACAGGAAGTAGTGGATATTTTGAAACTACCTCTTCTGAAGGCTATCATCAGTCCCCAGTGATTCAGAATATAGGACCTTGTAGTAGGTAGAAAAGAAGAGCTCTTGGTTGTTATTTTTAATAAATGTCTTTAAGTAGTTTCTGACATAAAGAATCCATTTCAGTTAAGTATGCCAAGAGGTTTGCTTGCTTTTCAAGTGTTTTCGATGACTACAAATTAATATTGAGTAAGCGTTCCCAGAGTCAGGAAAAGGCCACCAATTCAAATCCTTGGATAATATCTTGTAACTGAAATTCTCCTGAAGTATTAAAGAAAGAGAATGTTTAGTTAATTTATCTTATGGTAGATGTTGCCATTTGTATTACTTCTTTATAGCAGCTTATTTCTGAAATTTTACCCTCATTTTCTCTGAAGTCAATGATTGCATTCACACATCAGGCTGAATTGGGCTTTGTCTAATTGTGATTTGCAGAACCAGCGGGAAACAAGTCAAAGTCAGTCTTACAAATAACAAAACAACCAAGTTTTATTGGTCCATGTTCTGGCTTGGTTTCCCCACCCCACCCTTTGTTTAATTATTCTTCATTTACATATTTATATATTAGACAGAAGCTTTGGCGGGGCATAAGATCAAATAAGAAATAATCCAAGATATTGTAAACAAATTTTTGGATGTCATGGTAAACCGGAGTGGCAATAATTAAGCCAAAATTGTACATAGTTTCATATTAAATGTTTAAATAAATAATTCACTGACCCATTGTAGTAACCCCATAATTTATGGCTTAGCACAATGTGTAAATTCACGCCATCTGTCCAGTGTACTATCAAAAATGATGCTTTACTCTACAAATTTCATGCCCCATATTCCCCCACTATGAAATTGCCAACTTTTGCTAATTCTTGACCAGGACTCTAATATGGCATCTGTTAAATTTTAATATTGCATTTACCTACAAGAGAATGATAAAAAAAAAAGGATGAGCATTCCAAAGTCTGTGAAAATGTTTCTGACTGAAGTATCATGTGATGATGGTAAAAATATCTCACTGGGATTTCAGGCCAAAATATGTACTTGAAAATGAAACAGAGGTGGTGTGAAACAGAATTGTCTGTATCAAAGGAGAAAGTGACTGTATTTAGAGAACAAGGATGCGTGAAATATGCATCATTTCCCTTTTTATTTCAATTCATATTAATTTAAAGAATGTCATATTCTTATAGGGAACACCAAGTTCCTTATGCTAATTTAAAAAGTATTCAGACCCAACAAAATAACCTCCTTGGTACATCAAAAGTATGATGCAGTACAGAAATGTAGATTTTGTCTTACTGCACTGCACTCAGATTCTTAAAGTACTAGCATTTGAGATAAAGAATATCAGTTTACATATGTAAATTGTACAATTTTGTATAAAAGCAGAATGTGACTCAGCTAATAAGTGCTTTTCCTTCTGGTCTCTAGTGAGCTTCCTTTGCTGCCAATTGGTTTTTGGCACACTAAAGAAGCAATGTGCTAGTGGTTTAAGATTCACCATAGCCCCAAAACCCCATAGAATATTGTTCAAGCAGTAATACTCTGAATAAGTTATACTTATTCAGTAATACTCTGAAATCAGTGTTTCTCAACCTTGGCAACTTTAAAATGTGTAGACTTCAACTCCCAGTGAACAAAGGAGTTGACATCTATGTATCTTAAAGTTGCTAAGTTTGTAAAGTGAGGTATCATCAGTATGTTGATAACACCCAGTTGTATATCTCCATTCCTAGTGAGTTAAGTGATGCTCATTATTAATGTTAACTATATACTCTCGGTATGTTGGCCATCATTTTCTTTTTTTACTTAGTGTTTAATTTTAATTTAAATTATGATTTTATTGGTTTTTATGTATTTTATTATGTGTTATGCCCCCAGGAGTCACTATGTAAGATGGGTAACAATACAAAATATGTTAAATAAACAATTATACCGGCTGCTGCTTTATTTATATCATCTTTTGCAAAACCCTGCTTTTCTGAAAACGGCCTTGATTGTGAAAGGTCCCTTTCACACAGGGGCACGACACCAATTTGAGATTAGTATCAATTCTGGATCTCCATTTTATTGCAAGGGCCAGCGGCCTAGAAAGTCATGTTGATCCATGGTTAATTAAATTTGCAATCTAGAGGAAATGCTGCAAAGATCATTTTCTTTGGGGTGGCAAATGAGTTTTCTTTCAGCCTATTTGTTATGCCTTACCCAGTCACACCAAAGTATGAGGTTTTGTCCTCTGAACATTCAGTGGCTAGGAAATGTGTAACTCCCCCTTCCCTAAAATATAGTTTGGAAGAACAAGGTCTGTTTGCCATGTTTTACATCTTCGGGCAGATAGATGGAGTGAGCACTGATCTGCAGCATAGCAGGGTGGAGCTGTGAAGTGCCATGAAACTACTTCAGAAGATAAGAGAGGCAAAGCATATTGCCTTTAGGAAGTGTGGTTAGTCAATACAACACAAGTACAATTTCTGACAGCTGTTGATGCAACCTTATTCATTTTCATTCAGAAGCACTTGTGCATAGGATTGGAACTTGAAATATGCTTTCTCCAAATTCAAATTAAGAAGCACCCTGCAAAAGATTTATTTCAAAAGCCTGTCAAAGTGAGAATAATTTTCCTGCAAAGCAGTCTGAGTATTAGAAGTGTTTCCTCTAAGTGAAAACACTTCTACGTTGGTTCCTATTCCTTTGGCTATTCAGGGGGAATTATCCTTCTCAACCTGCAAACTAATTTATGGCTGTTAACCTGACCAGTCAGCCCTGCTAACACAGGTAGATTAAAGGAATGATTGCTGGACATGTAAACATAATTTGCTTCATATTAAATAATCTGTGAAAACAAGTGGAGATTCAAAAGACAGCTCTGTCATTTGAGTGTGTATCTTGTTCTACTTTTTCTTACAAAGTGAGCTGAAACCCGTAGCCATGGAAAAATCAGATATAAAGCTTCTTACATCTTCCGATTCTTGCTGGAAATAACGTAGAGTGCCTAGCCAGCAGTGACAAATGGCTATTTTACTCTACCCAGTAATGATGGCCATGGGTTATCTAATAATCAATTTATTCCCAATAACCATTCAGGCATGGTAGGCAGGCATGACCCATTGAAACACTGGTTGTAATCACACTATATTCAGATTCCAAGGATTACCATTAGAGCAAAGTTTTTGTTTGTAGGCTGTGTACTCAATGTAGTATTTTTATAAACAGAATTAGAAATGACATGGTTCCCCCACTCCGACCATAGTAAGTCATTATTAACAACAGTGAATTGCATTTCACTTTGACAATGGGGATGATTAACCTTATGATGCATGTATATGTAGTGTTTTGTTCTCCTTATGGGATTTTGTTATACTTTCACACTCTATAAATGTTTCTTATGTTTATAGTGTATGGAAGCAAAAAAGAAATCCCACAAGCAGAATAAATAGTACATATACTTCTGAAGTTCGTGCATCAAAGGATTGGATCATCTCTTCTGCCAAAGAGGAGACATGTGGTGCAGTTTATTCTTGTTGATAGTTAAAACCTGGCTGGATGAGAAACAAATGAATGGTTGGGTGTTTTTAATATGTCACACTACAATGCTATGAAAATTACATTACACTGAATTACTTTTATGTTCTTTATGTCATGCAATAAGTAAAATAAGTAAAATAAGGAACCTCTGTGGTTAGAGTGCAGTCCTGCAAGCTACTTCTGCAGCCAGCTGCCTACAACTTGGCAGTTCAAATCCCACCAGGCTCAAGGTTGACTCAGCCTTCCATCCTTCTGGGTAAAATGAAGACCCAAATTTTGGGGGGCAACATGCTGACTCTGTAAACCGCTTAGAGAGGGCTGTAAAGCACTATAAAGCAGTATGTAAGTCTAGGTGCTATTGCTATTGCTAAAAGCTTTCATTATATTCAATGGCTCATTCAAACCGTATCATTTGTGCTCTATTGATTAATATTAAATATTATAGCAATGCAAATGCAATCGTGTGTGCTCCTGCAACTAACAGAGAAATAATTTCATAAACATTTGTGTTCATTGTTATCAGTGAATTTAGGCAAATTAAAAAATATTGACTAGGCTACAAATCCAAATACCTCCTTTCGATATTCAGTTTTATTGTTATTTATTTCTTGTTGTTGTTTTCATAACTAACATTAATACCTTTTATTATAAATCTGAATTAATTCACCTGTACTTTCAAATTACAGGACCCTTTCTTTAACCAGTAGTTGCATATAACTTTTAAAATTTCTCTGCATTTTTAGGATTAATTACATGTTTATAAGGAAGAATATTATAGAAACATATAATATTATTGATGCTGTTTCAAAGACATTGTTTACATTTTGTAGATATTAAAAACACTATTGCTTTTAATTACTAATAGAGTCACAAAGCTGGAAGGGGATGACTAGTCTGCCCTCGTCTTCAATTGATCATTCCTGAGGTATAATTATATGGCATTCCAATCTCAATTGAGTTGAGAAAAAATAAAGGGAGGAAACTGACCAGAAAAAGAGGATGGAGGAATCCAAGAAAGTCATATGTATAAGTAAGCTTTCTCTAGTAATGCTAGTATTGGTGTTTCTCTCTTGCAGTCATACCGGTCTAGCAATTCAACTAAAATGGTCATGGAGGAAAGTAAGGACTAGAGAGAGTTTGCCCGAAGTAGCTGAAATCTACCAGAAGAAGGTAAGGGGATCCCAGTTGCCACTGAAGCACCAAATATACAGGTAGCAAAGTTTTGCCGGGAAAATATAGAAAACACAACTTCCACATTGGATCTCCAAACCTGAACTTAGTTGACTTCAGCAATAGGCAGCGAATGAAAGTAAGATTACATCATATTGACATATCAGTAAAGAATAGTGAGCTAAGGGTTTTCAAGCTGAAATTAGTGGAAGGGCAGGTGTG